CCATAGAGGCTAAGAAGAAAATATTATCTATAATATTAGAAGATAAAAGTTTTCAGTAGTTAGAGGAAATGTGTTTTGCAGAATAACCCATTGTGCAGTTTGAATTACCCATTAAATAAATGATTTATTTCTTACTTATCAGGTTAAGAGTAAACCAAAGAAAAAGAAAAAGACTAAGAATAAAAAGGTAAGAGACTGTATTAGCTTATAATAGAAGGTGCCTGATTATAAACATTTAGGTATAATATGTGGATTCATTGTTAGAACTTAAAATTAGTCCAAGTAGACAGTACAAATAACTTAAAAAAATGTCAATAGCTTATTGAATATATAATTATAGAGAAGTCTATATGTGTTAGATCCTGAATGATGTAAACTTACAGTGTGCCTACTTTACTTCCCTAAATCATAATTTATACATTTAAATATACAGATGAACCGAATTAGTCACTTGGAAATTTCATTAATTTTTACATACCACTCTCGTTTTTAAAATGCTTACTCAGTGTTTCAAAAACAGCTTTTCATCATATTTCTACTGATATGTTCAGAAGCATTTTTTTAAAACCTTAAAACATCTTGATTTTCTTTGTATCTAAGACTCTGCCAGCAATGCAGTAATGTGCAAAAATTATACAAATGCAGAAAATGTTTCTTTCATGACCCTTCCTTGTTTTTTGCCAGTCAAAAAATGAAGAAGTTACTATCTGTAGCAGTTTTAACAAGAGGTTTTTAATTGCTTGGAAAATCACAAGGGAAAGTGGAATTTTTTGGTGGGGAGGGGCTGAATTTTTATTTAATTCAGATTTTATTTTCAAGTTGAAATTAAATGGAGTAAACACAACTGGAAATAAATGTAAACGCCATTCAAAAATTCATACTCTAATAATTTTAAGAATTTCTTAGTAAATGTCAGCAACTGTCTAGGAATTTTTTAAGATCCTAAGTTTTTTCCAATTTATTTTATTAAAAAGTTGAGATACTTTGAATATAAGATAATTTTATCAAGATACAATTTGGACATTAGAAGAGAGATGTTATATCTTATATCTTTTATCTAAATTTTAAAGTGTTGGACCTAAAAAGTGCTGAAATTTTTGCACATGACTATATCATATAGAATAGTCCTATTCATATACTCAATTACTGTTATTTTAAGTACAAAGGATTGTCTATTTGTAGTGTAAGCAATCAGTCATAAAAAGCTAAGTCTATCCAATTCTCTAATCAGGCGTTCTCATGAAAAATTCTAGCGTATAGAAATTTGCTTGTGTTAATAGAGTGATGACAAAGCCCCTATGCATGAAATTGTGCCCTCTATTAATTATTTGTTTTGCAACATCTCTACCTAAAGATACAGTGAAAGTCTGTTGAAGTCCTAAAAACACCTATCAGGGACTCTGAAAGAATGTGACAGAAAAATAAAATCTGTGTAGCAAATGGAGGGGGCAATATAGATAAAGTCTAACTAGTATGTATAAAGACTTTGTAGCTACTATTTCTGCTCCCTTTCTGCAGTTAGGAATTTAGTATAGTTTCTAATTATTCAATTTGTAAGTAACTCTTGGAGGTTAATTAGAGTATTGATTACTGATATATTATCCTCCCATTAAGAGTATTAATTACTCTTACATAATTACTCTTATTCTTGTCCCTGTTCCCACCCTACCCCCCACCCCCAACCCAGAGGAATTGAGGGTTAGGAGTAGAAAAGGGAGGTAAAGCAGATGGCAGAAGAATAAAAGGCTTTGTGATGAAACTTGAAGATAAAAAGAAACATGGCAGGAAATAAATTGAGCCCTTCAACTTGGATATCCTCTCTAAAGGGAAGTTGCTGAGGTGCATGTAAGAAGATAAACTGATACATGCATTGGCATAAAGTTGTCATGGGAACAGCTAAAAAAGGGGTTTCAGA